TGACAGTTAAAAATTGGTGAGAAAGCGCTTCACTCAAAGTTACAGGTGACGTGGAAAGGGTTTTTTCTGATCTCTCATTTGTACTGCAATTTTTTGTTGTGGTCAAAGATGGATATACGGAATGCGAATAAGCGGGATATGATCGTATACGATCGAAGTCACTGAGATGCGCTATAATCTGTTTGTTTTCGGTGATGGAGCCAGAAGCAGGACATGGCGAGAGTCGTTTGGGTGCCGAGATTGGTTTACGCCGTCGGTCCACTTCGATTTCGGATGATTATTCGGTGCAAAAAACAAACGATGATGCTACCGAATGTAAATATATCGCAGCGAAGGTTCGTTTTTATCATTCATCTTTTTCTATATTTATCTGCAACTCCTTGTGGTCTGGAAATGGCAACTTCCCAGGCGAGGTATTAGTGGACTTAATGGACCGAAACATTTCTTACCTAATTTAATACTTCTTTTCCACATCCTTCCTTTTTATCTTTTTTTATTATCCTTTTTTATCTTTTCTATCATCCTCTCTTATATTTTCCAACAGCATTTATACAACTTTCTTTTAACCTTAATAGTAACAAATCCTGATTATTGCCCGTTGATACCGAAATTTTGCTCCCCCCTCCTGCCTCCTCCTTCCTCAATGCCACGTAGAAGCATCAAGATTTTTTCACAAATTTGTGATAAAAACCGAACCTTAGGGAATTTTCTAAAGAAAAAAAAAACACAGAATTTAGCAACCAAATCAAGTAAAAGCTCCGGAAAATGCTAAAATAGGCTCCACGAAACGTAATTTAGCACTAAAATCTCTCAGGCTGAGCAAATGAGATCGAAGGACAGCATGAAAAGATGAGAGAGGTAGAGGAATTGGAAAGAATGAGGTAGAAGATGAGGGAAAAGAGGATAATGAAAAGATTGAACTTCCAAGCAATAAGGTACAATGGGCGACACTGGAAGGGGCTACCAGTAAAACTTAGAATAGCAGGGTGGGGGGAGGGCGAATTGCAAAAGAAACATATACCGAAACAGGAAAAAAAATATTAAGAAAATAAGAAAAAAAATATTGAGAAGTTAGAAAAGAAAATATTAAGAAATTAAGAAAAAAAATATTGAGAAATTAGAAAATATTAAGAAATTAGTAAAAGTAGTAAAATTATTTTAAAAAGAATCATATTATAATATTAAGAAATGTTTCGGTCCCCCATTAAGAAGTCGTATACATTTCTTACCATTACCACAACTGGACCTCGCCGTCAGTACGACGATTGTGGTGACTGTAACCGGTACAGATTTCAATTTAAATTAGCTGTGTTAAGCATGTTAGTAACAGTAGAAAGTATATAAAAATAGAAAGAATGTTGTAGTAGATAAGTAATAATACTGTAAACAAAAACTACATTGCAATAACTGGAGGGTGAATGTAAACAACTAAAAAATGCAAGAAAGAACCACAGGTGAGAAATATTAGTACTACTGAAGTGCAAAAAACCAGTGGAAGAAACAAACGAATTTTTGATAGGGCAAAGAAATTTAGCAAAAACAAGGACTTTATTAAGAGGGCCCGAGGCCCGGGGACTAGCGATTTAGGTCTCGAGAATCGAAACGGAGTGGGGGAGGGACGGGGTCATTGACTGGGAAGGGGCTACGTGTTTTTGGAGGTAGGAACCGGAAACAGCAACGGAGTTTTCCAAGGGAAGGGGATCATTTTATTCAGCGTGAAACTTAATGCTGAGATGAATTTAGTAATCCTGAACGCGACACCCCAGCCCTCATCGAGGCAAGAATCGCGCACCACGATTTTCGCAACTCGGACCTGAACCTCTAAGGTCGAATTTTAGTAATTGCTCCCCAGCCCCCCTGTGAGACGCCCCAATTGCATAATGCGATGGCCGCATGGGCCGAAGATTGTTGTCTATGAATAGGTGCTGGATGGGCCGCGCAGCAGAAAATCGATCATTTGGAACGGTGGAGAGCGGTCGGTTTCGGCGAGGTGGTGGATTGGCGTGGTAGGTCGGAGGTTTGCTGGGGGTTGGTGGGGATTTGTGTCGGGTCTGGTGGGGCGGGGGCTTGCTTCCCGGGGGTTCTGCGGGGTCGGTTTTTTGGTGAGGAGAAGG